TTTTTAACGGGGTCGCGTTGTTTATACATTTACATTGTTCATTTATAAACAAAATGTGTTTTTTTCGTAGTGGGGATACAAGAAAGGTGTTAAAATTTTTTTAAAATACAGTATTTGGGGAACAAATGAGTGAAGTCTACGTATAATTTGTTACGAATTCCACAAATGTAACTTCGCTCGCGCACATCGTGTTCTGAGGAGAGAATGGTTTTTAAAATTTTTTTGAAGTAGCGACTAATTAACGCGTTTTTCTGTCCATCCGGACGCAGATTTGTAGCAATTTTATGTGATTAGAAAGGAAACGCAAAGGTGTCTTCGAACTTTTAACATTTAGAGGTCTGTGAATACGACATTTTGCTGTGATTGTATTTATACATGTGTATATAAGCGATATATATATATATATATATATATATGTATTTGTGCCATTTTAGTTAATTTCTATTCATTTTCAAGTGTTGTTAACAAGTTTACACGTGCATTAACGGATATTATGTTAAAAAATTATTTTTTAAAAACAAATTTTACGTGAAGATAATTATTTACGATCAAAGTTTCCAATCAGCTGTTTTTGCTGCCCGTATGAAAATCTTTTGGACTATTTTCGTGATGAGTCAGTCTTGACGTTTTATCTGGCATTGAAGAGCGGGCTGTACGTTAAAATATTCCTTGAAGTTCTGTCATACGTAAAGAATCTTTATCTGATTTGAAAGGAATTGAGAAGGTACAGTTTCTTCATTAAGTGTCATTACTTCCGTTGCGAGTTAAATGCACTTATATTCGACTCGCGTTTTCAAGTATTAGACGCAGAATGTTTCAACAGATTTTAATTAAATTCAGTTTTAAAATTAGACTTTACTAAATAATTATATATAAAAAAGTATCCCCTTCACATAATTCTTTTAACAGAAGCAATAATTTACGAAAATGCGCCTTACTAGCCTTGCCATGTCTGTCTGTCCGCACGTAACAGCTACAGAGCCACTGAACTGTTTTCCACGAAATTTAATATTTGAATGTTTTACTAAAGACACTTACCACTTCTTTTTTTAAATCGGACAATTACAGATTTATGAAAGACATTTTATTTTTTTAAGTTGGTTGCACTTTTTCCGTACGTCTCACGGTTTTCCAGACTGCCCCGTCCATGTCCATTCTTGGTTCTCGCATTCAAAATCTAGAGAAAGAAATCGAGTGTTCGCTTGGTAATTATTACGCTCCGCGTGCTTTTACTAATTTCTTAAGTGGATTACAGTCTCCGTACGCGACGGCTTAAATTTGTGGTATATTTAGTATTAACCTTATCGTCCTTATGCTCTGTCCAGTTGGCCTTCGAGCTAAACCTTTAACGACGGGGTTAAAATCCGGTTGACAGTTCCGTAGTACCAGGGTTCAAATCCAGTTGTCGATAAAGATTTAAAAAAAAGGATGATATTAAATATGTCTGAATGTACAGTATCGTAGGATCGCAAGTCTAGATCCGTGTAAAACCTTGGTACTTTCTTCTTGAATTATTCTTATTTAAATGTGAATATTGTTCGTCCGTGACTGCGGGACAGCGATTTTCAATTTGTCGGGGGTCCTTTCATTTTGGGGAGGTATTTATTTAAAGGTGCGCGCTAGAAGGGTACGCGAAGCAGTAAGGGGGATGTGACACGCGCAGTGCGTGATTTCGAAGTGAGGTCTTTTTGGAATCGACGTGCGTCGTATTTACGTGCGAAGCTAGATTTGTTTTCGCGTTACGTGCTGCCATGCAATGTAAATATAATAGTTGTAAACTAATATTTCTAATGGAGAAAAAATACATTTTAATCTGTAATTATTTTCTTTTTTTTTTATACTTTTTAATTATGTAAAGTGTTTTGTCGAATATATAAATATAAGCGAGAACTGCGATATGGAGATAGATCCTTTATCTGTCATGTTATGGGATCGAAGTTTAATCAGATTCTTGTCCTCGAAATTCTAATGACACGTAAAATGAATCAGGCCCTAGAGATAAATTTCATAAATCGTTAAGTGGATCGCACTTTTACGTACTGACTTACTCGAAATTTAAGTGAACTTTGAAACGTACTTATTTCTGGAACCGAATCGATTTTACATACGGCTTTTACAACGAATTGAGCATAAATCTGATTATTTTATTAAATGTTAATACCAAACACGCGACTTAAAACTTCGCATATTAAAGAGATCCAATTTGTTTCCGAATTTAGCCTGTAGGAGGCCACAGCATCTAATCTAAATAA